GCGGTGGCCTCTGCGGGACCCCGACCCCCCGCGGCGGGTGGCGTCTGCCCGCAGACCACCGTGTGTGAGAAGATCATGGAGCTGCTGGGCCAGAACGAAGTGGACCACCGGCAGCGCAAGCTGGTCATCCTGAGCCAGGACCGCTTCTACAAGGTCCTGACCGCAGAGCAGAAGGCCAAGGCCCTGAAGGGCCAGTACAACTTCGACCACCCAGGTGCGGGCAGAGGGCGGTGGAGCATCAGGGGCCCCGTCGGGCAGCAGGCTGGGTAGGCGCCCTCGGGATGGATGCCCCACAGAAGTTGGTTGGAGCCTGTGGAATCCCTGAGGGACTTTGGGGCTCCCATCCCTGGTCTCTCCTCACCTGGGCAGTGCCCTGTCTGAGGGCACCAGGATGCTTCCGGCTGTGGCCTGCAGGTCTGCAGGCCAGCATCTCTGAGCACTGTCACTCGCAGGTTGCATGTAGGCGCGGCTCCCATCTTGAGTATTGTGGGGTCCTCAGTCGCCTGTGGCCAGCTGTGCTGACCCGGGGCCAGGCACTGTTGCCGCCTCTTCTGGCACAAGGGCAGCTAAGTTTTTGCTTTGTGCTCCATCCCTGCAGATGCTTTTGATAATGATTTGATGCACAGGACTCTGAAAAACATCGTGGAGGGCAGAACTGTGGAGGTCCCCACCTATGATTTTGTGACCCACTCAAGGTAAGGAGTGGTCACAGCAGGCCCTGCTGAGGGTGCTTTCTGTAGACCGTCCCCAGTGCTGTCCCTGCAGGGCATCAGCACCCCTGGGACCAAGATCTCCCCCTACAGGTTGCCAGAGACCACAGTGGTGTACCCTGCTGATGTGGTGCTGTTCGAGGGCATCCTGGTGTTCTACAGCCAAGAGATCCGGGACATGTTTCACCTGCGCCTCTTCGTGGACACAGACTCTGACGTCAGGCTGTCCCGGAGGGGTAAGGCGGTCTTGTGCCGTGTGGTCCTGGTGGAGTTGGCCACTAGCCAGCAGAGTGCCGAGCGTGTCCTGTTGCTGCTACAGTTCTGCGAGATGTGCACCGAGGGCGGGACCTGGAGCAGATTCTGACCCAGTACACCACCTTCGTGAAGCCAGCTTTTGAGGAGTTCTGCCTGCCGGTACTGCCCCAGCTGCATGCAGGCATCCCCTCTCATGGTGCCCGTCCGGTGCAAGCTGAGTCCTGTGTGAATGTCGCTCGTCACTGTACCCGGGCACCCAGGGAGTCCTTCTCAGCTCTGCCCCCTCTCGTCCTGTCTGCTCCCATGTGGACTCCTCCCTGCCTCGGGCCTTGCCATCATGGGATCTGCATGTTTCTCCTTTTCCCCTCGGTGACCCCATAAGGTGGGAGCTGTTGTGTGCTCACAGTTAACAGCCACTGTGTAGCACCTCCAGGGCCAGTGTTCCGGGGCTGTTGCGGGCCCCTGCTGGGCCGTGGCTGGCTCATAGATGGAGGAATTCACTAGCTTTTCTTCCAGAGTTAGAGCTGGGGCTTGTGGCACTGCTCAAATTGGAGTATTTTATTTTTGTTTTTGTGGAACCAGGGATTGAACTCAGGCCCTTGCATTTGCCAGGCAAGTGCTCATTCTACTGAGCCATCTCCCTGGCTTGATTTTATTTTTTTAAGATAGGGTCTCACTATGTATTTTGGGCTGGCCTTAAACTCACTATCGAGTCCAGGCTGGCCTCGAATTCGGTGATCCTTTTGCCTCAGCCTCCCAAGTCCTGGGAATAACAGGTGTGCGCCACCACACCCAGCCTCTGGATGGAGTGTTTTAAAGAGAAATCTAACACTATCTTGTCTCTTTAAATTAAGAATATAGCACAGAGGAACTGGAACCAAGATTTCTGTCCCAAAAAGTAGAAGCCTTCTGGAAATTAGTTTGAAAAATAAATTGGTTGTTACAGCATTTCCAAGTGGACATCTGGCAGAGTGGAGAGTTTGCAGGAAGGCCCTCGGTGCTCCCCAGTGATCCTGGGGAGAGGGAGCCCTGTACCTGCCCCAGGCTCCCTTGCCTTGGGGTGGCCGCTGGTGAAGTCCAGCTAACTTGGCCACCAAGTGGTACCTGCTAAGGCCTCACCACCATCGCCATCCATAGCATGTTCTATATTCCTGGCTCCCTCTCCCTCCTTCCCTCCCAGCCTCTGCTGCCCTGTGACAGCCCCCTTGCCCCATGATGCCATCCTGCATGCCCCACATCCTGCAGACACCTGTCAGGGTGTGATAGGTTCCCTTGGCTCAAATTTACACCCCAGGGCAGCAGACCCTCAGCAGGTCTGTGCCTGGGGCCTCCTGCTCTCTGGCCGGCTGCCCACTTGGTGGCCCTGACATTGAATGTGTGCTCGGGAGCCAGGGAGCAGTAGAAGGTGATCAGCTGCAGGTATGAGACGAGGAGCATGCCTGTGTGCATGAGGGACTGTGATGTGGTCCTGTCCTGTCCTCACTTCGCCAGGTCATGGAGCATAGGGAAGCACACATTTAGCCTGGCCCAGCCCACTTGTGATGGGCATGAAGGCTGTCCCCATGGATATTCTGGGTAGGGACAGGAGCACAATGGGGTCATTCAAGGCTGTTTCCTTAGCCTTGATCACTGTTGTGCACCTGCCTCACAGCTGCCCGAGTCTGGCCACCACCTGCAGGTGACACCAGTGTCTGGATGCCCTGGAGAGGATGAAGGCTCACGAGGACCTCTTTTGTGTCTTGCAGACAAAGAAATATGCTGACGTGATCATCCCCCGTGGGGTTGACAACATGGGTAAGAAACCACCCACTCCTGTCCCCTCCCCAGCCTCAGAGCAAGGGCCTCTCCATCCTGTCTCACCGACAAATCGGTGTTTAGCTGTGGCACAGGTTCAGTATATGCTTTACAATCTGAGCATGGTCCAGTACATCTGCAGTCCTGGCCACTTGGGAGGCTGAGGCAGGAAGTTTGCAAGTTTTAGGCCAGCCTGGGTCACATAGAGTGTATCTCAGAAAATTTTAAGGCGTAGCCCAGGATTTGTCTAGCGGCCCTTGGTTCAATACCCTGTGCTTCTAAACGGAAAAAGGCAGCACTTGTTCAGAATTTCTGGGCAGGGCCAGTCGCATTAGCAGAAAGCCTTGTGACCAGGCTTTGGTCAGCATGCACCCAGGTACAGACTGGGCTGCACATGTTCCATGCCGTTTCTGTGAGGTGTGACACCAGGGACACCTGCTGGCCCCCCATCGTGGGGGAGGGGCAGGGGTCTGGGGCTGACCTGTCCCCGCCTGCCTGTCCCTGCAGTCGCCATCAACCTGATAGTGCAGCATATCCAGGACATTCTCAATGGTGACCTCTGCAAGCGGCACCGGGGCGGCGCCAATGGGCGCAACCACAAGAGGACCTTTCCTGAGCCAGGGGACCACCCCGGGGTGCTGGCTTCTGGCAAACGGTCACACCTGGAGTCCAGCAGCAGACCCCACTGAGTGCCTCGGGCACTCACCAGGCTGGAAGCACAGCTGCCACGGCCTCTTGCTAGTCCTGGTGGAATTGGGACCAAGGCGTCTTCATGAGGAGGGCGTGGCGTGGGTCACTGAAGCCGCTTCTAGCTTCCCGCTGCTTCAGGCAAGGAGGTCGGTGTGGGGGAATCCTGTGGCACCTGAAGGAGTGTGAGTCCTGTACTTTTGGGAAAGCGGAAACAATCTGGCCACTGGCGGGCCTGGTAATGTTTGGTGGCAGACCCACAGCAAGAGATCACTGTCCCTCTGTGATCTGTGCTGAGACATGTGGTCCAGGTGTTTCACTGTCCCATAGCACAAGACTGCGGTGACCTGTAAGCCTCATTCCCTGACCTGCACCAGGCTGTGGTCCAGGGCCCATGAGGCAGGGAGGAGAGGGAGCCCTGGATGGGCCCCGTTTATTCTCTGAGCAGCCTCGTGCAGACGCTGGGCCCTGCCCAGGGTGCCCTGTGGACACCCACAAGCCCAGCTCACAGCCTCACGAGCCCTGCCTATGGCTGAGTTTATCATCCATCCCAAGTGATGGCCCTTTTGGAAGTGTCCTTTGCCATTGGCATGCGCTGTGACAGACACCTGGGGTTCTCACCACAGTTATGCAGCCATGCTGTGGCCGCCCTGTGCTCTGGGCCAGTCTGAATCTGAGCAGTACAGATGAGTCTGTCTGAATCAATAAACAACTCCACATAGGAAAGCCAATTTGTCCCTTTTTATTTACATTTTAAAAAGACAAATGCAGGACAGCACAATGTGTAGACCCTGACTGTCAGATCTCATGGGAGATCCTGCTTAGCACGTGCCCATGGGCAACCACTGAGGTCTGCAGCTGCTGGGGCCCGAGGGCGCAGCCCCAGACGCGCAGCTGAGGATCGCTCTGGGCTCGTGTGGGGTCCTGAGCTGGTGGATCCCTGGCCTCTGCTTTAGAGCCCTGGAGCTGGCTGCTCAACTCCCAGCATCTTAGTTTAGGGGTCCCACACTCTGGAAGGGGAACAGGGTCCTAAGGGACTGTGGCGCCTGGCCCTGCTCCTGCCCAGTGTGTTCTGAACCTAGGATTTTCGAATCAGGATGTCCCAGCTGTCTTTCCAGCGAAGAGCCAGGAGTTCTGCTGAGGACAGCGATCTGTCCCCGTAGGTGAGTGGGCGCAGTGTGTTGGACACGTGGCAGGCAGCAGAATACCAGGCTATGACCAAGGCGCTGAAGAGATTGCGCTGCAGCTGGGTCCTGTGGGCAGTGGTGCCAAGGTGCTCAGAGGCATGAGAGCCAGCCCTGCCATCCTTTTGGGCTGTCCCCTACAGGCACCTGCCTGTTTCCCAGACCCTCCGGCGGGGAGAAGCTGACCAACCACCACCCACCTGCCACAGCCTCCAGTCCCTCTGCACTGCACCTGAGATCACCGCAGGCCCAGGCCATCACGCAGGCTCCCCTGGCCCTCTGCCCTAGCCAGGCCTTCTCCCCAAGGCTCCCATGCCCCTGGCCCCGGGCCCTGGCACCCATGCAGTTCCCAGCAGGGAGCCGCTTCTCGCCAGCCTGCACGTGCTGCCCCCCACCCCCCCAGCATGGCCGCACCCGCGCACCTGCACAGGTGGTCAGCGAAGTGCTGCAGCACGAGCGGGACCAGCAGTAGCTGGAAGGCCAGCGCGGGCAGGTAGTGGTAGAGGAAGAGCGTCTTTTCCATCAGGAAGAAGGGCAGGTAGTTCAGCGCCCAGCCGCCGGCACACAGCGACCCGGCCAGCGCCCAGCGCAGCCACACGTCTGTGGGGGAGGGGAGCGCCCTGAGTCTCCAGGATCCAGGCCCAAAGCTTCCCACCATCGGGAGCCCCACAGAGTGAGCGAGAGCGGGAGGCCCTGGCAAGCCGTGCCTGCGGCACACGGGGCCCTGCAGGGCGGAGCTGACCCACGCAAGGGGAGGGAAGAGTGCAGAACAGTTCTCGGGGAGGCTGGGCGGCACTGACCCTCGGGGAGGTCGTGGATGGCCCTGCGCCGTCGGAGCAAGTACCACAGGAAGAGCAGCGCGTAGGCAGCTGTGGCCAGGCTGGCCGAGGCCCAGATCACGATGTTCCCAAGCAGGTGGATCTGAGCCTGGGTGCAGGGGACAGGTACAGACAGGTTGGCAGGGTGCCTGCGCCTCAGCAGCACTGAGGACACGGCGCGGTCCGCCCCCTCCAGCCCTGCCCACCTGGCCTCGTCCCCGGGAGGCCCCTTCTAGAAGAGGGCTGCCTTCGCAGCTCTGTACCAGCAAAGGGTGGACTAGGAGTAAATGAGATTGCTTTGGGGGGTGTGGGGGATGCAAGCCAGGGCCCCCCACAGGCTAGGCCACTGCTCGGCCCCTGGGGTGTACCTCTCAGCTTTTTCTTTTTTTTTCTTGTTTTTTGTGGTACTGAGGATCAAACTCGGGACCTTGCACTTGCCAGGCATGCACATACGCCACGGAGGTAGCTCCTCAGCCCTATTCTCATTTTTTTACACAGAATCTCACCAAATTGCCTGGGCTGGCCTCAAACTCTGAAATCCTCCTGCCTCAACCTCCTGAGTGGCTGAGACATAGTGTGCATGACCACGCCTGGCTCAAAAACTCATTAATGACAAGGCTGCCACAGAAAGAAAATCCACGTCCACACCAGACCCCTGGGCTCCATGTCAGCGCCTGTGCATGCTGTACCAGGCAGAGAGATGGGGGAGGGGGAGAGCGGCTTCCCCAGCCTGCCACACAGCTAGGGTGAAGACATACCCTCAGGGCCAGGCCTGCGGCTGTCATCCCATCACGTGCGTGCACTTACACTGGTCCGGGGGTGTAGCCAGTAGACAATGTTGGTGTCCAGCATGGCCCACTCCAGGGGCGTGGAACTGTATTTGTGCTCGGCATCTTCACTCCTCAGTGTCAGCATCCTCCACTGGAACAGAGCACACAGCTTGAGGGGCTGTGGGGCCCAGGGGTGAGGGTGGGCAGGCGCATGAGCGCGCGGGCGGCAGCCCCGGGTGCCCACCAGCTCCTCCACAGGCAGGAGGTTGTTCCCTCTGAGCTCCCTGCTGCTGCAGATCCTCAAGGCTGCCGCCTTGCGATGCCGGGGCTCTGCTGGCCCCGTGGCCCTGACGACCCCCTAAGCATGGTGCACCATCCTGCTCACATAGAGCTCCTCCCTGATTCTTCTGGCTACAAAGCCACAGAGGGTGGGGTCAGCAGGGTCAAGCGGGCGGTGAGAGGAAGAGGCTGGAGCCTGTCCCGCAGCACTGGGTACACAGCGCTCCCCAGGGCGGCTGCGTCACCTGCAGTTCTGAGAATCTGGCCATGAAGCTGAGGTTCCTGCTGACGTCCACCTGTGTGGGTGTGTGCAGCTCCAGCTCCCTGTCTCTCTGCTCCTGGCCTGTTGGACACAGCCCCAACGGTGGGGCACAACATGCTCGGGGGCTGGGCAGCTGCTGCCCCAGGTGAGCCCTGCCCACCCGGGACCCCCAGCCCCTAGCCCACTGTCCCGGCGCCCCAGCACCACGCAGCAGGGAGCGAGGTCAGGTGCACTCACTCGTGCCATAGCGGTGTTCCTCCACGTTCCACGCCATGCTCTCGTGGTGGCCCGGCGACAGCTTCTCGCCCACCACCTCGAGTTGCCGAAAGCCCCAGTCGGGGAGGTGCGCCCCACTCAGCTGCCACCCACAGGAGACAAAGGTTGTGTTGGGATGTGGGCCCGACTGACCCGGCAGCCCTGGTGGGCCTCCCTCCGTGGCTTCTGTCACATGACCCACCCAGGACCCATGTGCACCTTAAGCACGGCAGACGTATTCAGGTGCACAAAGCGCACGGCTGACAAGATGGTCTTCCAGGTGTCCTTGTCCGACTGCCGGTTGACGATGTCCTATAGGGACAGCTTGTCAGGTGGTACAAAGACAGGACACACATGTGGCACAGGGGAGCACAGGCCCAGAGGCAAGGGCTGTGCCTGGCAACAGTCACTTCACGGACCCTGGCTCTGCCCAGAGAGCTGCACATACTTGACTAAAACACTGGGAAGAAGGGACACTCCAGAGGCTGGGGCGGGGCGACACCTGTGACCCCAGCATTCTAGGAGATTGAGATGGGAGGGTTACAAGTTCAAGCCCTGCCTGAGCAACTTAGTAATTGAGTGAGATGCTGGCTCAAAAAAAAAAAAAAAAAAAAAAAGTGGGCTGGGTCCTGTGGCTCAGCGGGAAGGCCCTGTGTCCAGTCCCCAAAAGAGAGAGGAACTGCACACAGTTCTCCTCATGGGAGTGATCCCAGTGACCCAGCGCCACCCCGGGGATGGTGAGGCTGAGGCCGTCTCACACTCAAGGTCCTTAGTCACAGGTGGAAAGGCTGGGCGCTGGGACACTTACTGCTGTTTCCCAGGAAAGCTGGTGCCCAAGGGGAGTGGAGCCCGGCCCCTTGGAGGAGAGGTGACTGCAGGCCTGGCTACTCAGGAACCTCTGTGCCCGACCCAGGAAAACCGTGGCGGGGCACTGTGACATGCTGCCCCTGGTGCCAAGGAGCAAAGTGAATACTGGAGCCACAGGCCCACCCACAGGACCAAGTTGGGGACCCCCGCTGCTCACTTGGGAGCCCACAGTGAGCCGCAGAGGAGGAAGTGACTGTGCCTTGTGAGAACATCATCACCCGCTCCATAAATAAACCCTCTCGGCCCCCGCACGGCGGAGGACTTGGGACTCACCAGCCTCCAGAGGTTCTGCGCAGGCATGGAGATGTTGTAGTCCACGTAGCAGGAGACCTCCTGCGCGTGGGGGCTCAGCGGGGCCGCAACGTCGTGTCTGGAGGGCCGAGGGAGGCGTGACACTGGGTCAAGCTCCTCCTAGCCTTGGCTTAGGGTCAGGGGCCAGGGGCCAACGCAAGTGGGACCAGGGCCACCCTGTCCCCGCTGCAGGCACTCACGTGTTGAGGAGGCGCGTGGTCATGCCGTGGACCAGCTGGACCACGTCTCCGTGCCGCACAGGCCTGGGTGGGTTGCTCACCACCAGCTGGTGCCTGCAGCAAGGATGGCAGTGAGCTTCGTGTCCCCAGAGCAGAGGGACAGGTCACCTGGAGGGGCGGGGCTGTATCCTCCCACCAACAGGGCCATCTGTAGTCCCCTCACCCCCAGCACCTTGTATGAGGTGACCATCAAGAACCAAGGAACACACATTCATTTCCCTTTTTTTTTAGTACTGAGGATGAAACCCCAGACCTGGTGCAGGCTAAGCGGACTCTGGGTCACAGAGCTTAATACCAGATTTTTCAACTTTTCACTGAGACAGGGTGTCACTAAATTGCTAAATTGCCCAGGTCGGATTTAAACTTGAGATCCTCCTGCCTCAGTCTTTCACGTAGCTGGGGTTACAGGTGTGCACCGTGGCCAGCCACTTAATCTTGGTCTGGAACCTAAGGCACCTTCCCAGCAGCCAAAGCTGACTCCACCTGATAGCCCTGCCCTTGCACCAATGCCACAGCAAGCAGCACCCTGCGTGGGCGAGCCCTCTTCCAATGGCGACCTTTGGCTTCCACCTGCCCTGCGGAAGTCCAGGCAGGATCTAGGAGTTCTGAACAGCCTAAAGTAGCCACTGCTCTTCATGGCACCAAGGGACAAAAGCAAGGGACCCTCCAAGTCTGTCTAAGACCACAGACAGCTGGAAGCTGTGGAGATGGAGGAGGAGGCAACTTCAGATGCCCAGAAGAAGGCCTGGCTGTCAGAGGCAGAAGGGTGCCAAGAGTGGGCCCAGCCCAGGCGGGGGCGTGCAGGAGCACCCCGTGTTGGGGGCTGAACACTCAGAATTCAACGAGTAGGACAGTGGCATTCAGTGGGGACCCTTCAGCACTGCCGACACTGAACAGGTACAGGAGTGGCAGCTGCCATTCAGAAAGGGCAGCAGAGACCGACCAAGTGCCCGGCCTGGCAGGGTAGTGCCCTGTGCAGCTGGAGGGTCCTGTTGTACTGAGGCAGGCAAAGGGGTGTGGAAGGTCTGGGCTGCCCCTGTGGCACTGCTGAGAGGAGATGTCAGGTGCCATTGAGGACCGGGTGACCCAAGCCTCGACTCTGCTTTCAGTGGTGCAGCATGGGGACCCCAGACCACCAGAGGGCAAGGGAACAATGCAGGAGGTAACAGCCCAGGCAGAGTCTGAGGGCTCAGGACCCGCACTCACTTCCCAGGGTCTTTGATGATCCACCAGTTGTTGACGTCCTTGAAGGGGTAGCAGGTCACCTGCTGCTGGTGGGAGCTGCCCCGGCCGTTCTCATAGCTGTGTGAGGAGGTCAAGCAGGACCATGGCTGGGGCAGCTGGGGAGTGAGGAGGACCCCAACAGTCCTGCCTGGGTGAGTACGGGAAAGGGGAAACAACACAAGCGGGCTCTGAGTCTCACGGGGACGGGAGGGGACAGAGGGGCATGGCCGCCTGCTGGCTACAGAGGGAGACACGCACTGCGCATCTTGTCCCTGATAGGTGCGCTACAGATGTCGCCAGTTCATGGCACCCGCAGGCCAAGAGCTCAGTTCCCACGTCCCCCGAGCTCAGCCACAGACACACGCTCGGCTGCGACAGGGTGCTCTCCTCACATCATGGGGTAGGTGTTCTGGTGCGAGTGAAGCCAGCAGGGCAGGGGCTTGCCGAAGACATTCCTCAGGGTGACCTGAGAGCCGAAGGCCACCTCCAGGGGCTGGCCTTGGGTGATGCGGGCCAGTCCTCCCTGGACAAAGGGCAGAGAGAGAGCACAGTCCTAACCCCCTCAGGACAGCCGCTCCCCATCTGCGTGACATGGGGCAGTGACAGTCCATTCTGGGGGTGTTGAGACAGCGTCTCACTATGTAGTCCAGCGGATCCTCCTGCCTCCCGAGTCCTGGGCTTACAGACATGCACCACCATGCCTGGCTCCGGGGCCGTTCTTACAGCTCATCCTATCACACCACAGCGCCTGACTAAGAGCTCTGCTGAGTGCGCACTGCCCGGGCCAGGCCTGCAGCTGGGCGCCCCCCTCCTGTCACTCCCCACACTGCCCCGAGAAAGACAAGTGATGACAATGTCTAAGAGATGAGGAGACAGAGTGGGCGTGAGGTGTGCAGAGCTGCCCCTGGTAGAGCCAGCGTGGACAGCAGGTTGAGGCCCTGCCCCTACCCACCGGCTCAACTAGGCTGAGGGTCCTTTGACTGCAAATGCCTAGAACCAGTAGTGTTCTGATTCTAGACTTTTTTTTTTAAATTTCAGAAGCTTTGCATAGACCTTAACAGCCAATTGCCCATATGAAAACCCAAGATCCCTCATGCTCCAAAATCCAACAGCACCCCAGGAGCTTTGGGTATTGGCGCCTTCTGGATCACGGGCCTCCCCCTAGACGTCCTCAAAGTTAGTCTGAATGAACACAGGCCTGAGTCTGTCCCAGAATGTGCCAGAAACCGCCCAGAGTTTGCAGGACTTTGGGATGTCCTCAAGCGACTCAGACTGCCAGCCAGCCAGCCAGGCCGCACTGCGTGGCCGTTCACAGCTCCCTGAGAATCACTACCCGGCCGCTGCTGTTCCTGACTTTTTCCGCTGTTTTTCTGTAATGCCCGCTTGATGCCATGTCACAAAACGTCCACGGCACACAAAAGCCACAGCCGGAGGCAGCCCCGACACCCCGCTTCTTACCTCCAAGCTGGCCTGGAAGGCACTTGACATGATTTGGTCGTGGGGCCCAGAGCGGCAGAGCAGTGCCAAGTGGACGTAGAAGAACAGTAAATACAGGGTGGCTGGGGCGACCAACAGGGCCACCGCTCTGGCAAGCAGGTGGCAGAACACACGGACCTGCCAGGAGACAGGTGGGCAGGTGACCTTCCGCTGCCTGGAGAGCAAGCCTATCTCCAGGCTCGAGGCTCAGTGAAAGTCACTGCCCTCACTGGTGACACTGACAGGTCAGCTGGTGGGCGATGCTCCCTGCCCACTTTCGGAAGCCTGGAGGCTCCGGGAGTCTCTGCACCGCAGCTCCCGGGGGTCAGGCACCTGGTGGGCCCATACAGAGCACACTGAAGGGACATTGACACCGACACCTACATTTGACAGGGTCTGGTCTCCAATCAGCTGCCAAGCGTGGACGGCTGCAACGCCCAGCACAAGCAAGTAGGTGAAAATGCCCATGTATTTGATGCTGAAAAGACAGAGTGCGGTCAGCGGGGGCAGGCAGGAGCATACACTGGGCAGAGCCTGTAACAGGTGACCCGACTTACCCCACAGCGCAGGCGCAGGCCACCCCTGTCAGTATCAGCCAGAACCACCAGCGCAGAGAGAAAGCGCTGCAACACAGGTGGGACAGTTATCACTATGTCCCACGGCCAGGATGGACGTGTTTCTCAGGGATCCCTGGGGGGCCTGGCTGTACGAGTAGCAGGCACATTAAGAATTCTCTCCCCACCCGTGTTTCATTCCTGGCAGATTTTCTTTTCATTCTTGGTGGTACTAGAGATCAGCCCTTCTCACTCTTTGAGACATGGTCTCACCAAGTTGCTAAGTTGTCCAGGCTGAGCTCCACCCTGCAATCCTCCTGCCTCAGCCCCTCAGAGTGCTAAGATTACAAGTGCCAAGAATTTTTCTTTTTTTGTCAGGAAAATTTTCATTGTTGGTTAAAGCTACGGAAAATGAGGATGCTATTTAGGAAATCATGAGCCAAAAGCTGTGCCCCACAATATAAAGCAGCCAGGAGGTACTCAGCAAGCAAGTGCTCAAAACAATAGGCACCCAAAGCCACCCACAGCGCTCCTTGGGTACTCGGGTGGACACACCTCAGCGCCCATACCTGTGTTTCTGGGAGTTGAAGAACTTCAGGTAGGACAACACAGCCAAGAGGTTAAAAAATATCAGCGGTGACTCCAGCAGCATGAGCCTGGACTGAGTGATGAGGGCATTGTCTGTCACAAAGGTGAGACTCCGTCAGTCTTATGGTGGCACGGAATACACGAAGATGAAAGACATTCACAGGAAAAGGTAGCTGACCCCGTGCTCTCGGGGGACTGCTCCCGCCCCCTTGCAGCCCACCGAAGCCCACGGAGCCTCACTTCTACCGCCTGCGTGCGTGATGCCCATAGCTGCCCTTCTGTAGGCTTTCAGTCATTTCCAGGCTACAGCTCCCACCACTGCAGGTGACAGGTCTAGTCACTCTGGTTTATTCAGGAATAATGATGAGAGATCTACAGATTTGGTACAGATGCAGTTTTAAGTTGGGAGGCTCTCTGATCTACAGCTGGTTGGTCTGCACAGGCAGAACCCTGGATGTGGCAGCTGCCAGTACTTAACTAGGACAAACCTAGCAGCTACCGTGTACCAGAATATGGCAGCAGGAAGGTCAAAAACAGGTGGCTGGGCACACACATGCCACAGAGCCACCACAGCAACGTCTTTCCTTTCTTTCTCTGTCTCCTCCTCCTCCTCCTCCTCCTCCTCCTCCTCTTCCTCCTCCTCTTCTCCTCCTTCTCCTTCTCCTCCTCTTCCTTC